CTACAAAAGTGTGTCTGCGACCCATATATCCTAAAATTTTATCATTCTCTTCCTTGGAGTAAGATAAATACTTTCTTTATCTGTAACAATAAATTAAGAAGTTTATTGAACAAATCATGTTAAAAATGAAGCGGTAAACAGAGTGTGGTCTAACTTAGAATATAATTTGGAAACTTCACTAACTCTCTTTCCTCAGACCGGTGCCATCTTGCCGAGTTTTTCTCGAACGTGGCCTCAATACCCTGACCCTCCTCATCAAATAAATCAATGCGTACAGGTAAGGGCAGAGGCCCAATCTCTTCAAATGCCCTCAAGTTACTTGCCATCGTAACGTACCCTGGTTTGTACAGACAGCCAGGAGGTGTTACTTTGTTGAGACAAGGGCAGATGATGGGTCCTAGCACACTGCAGGAAATAACCACAACAAAAGTACACAAATTTCTGGCAAATTTTTATCAGGAATTTAGTGTACTTTTCAAGTGCAACAATTGTTGTACAAAGTAGAATGGAACCGGCATGACGAGTGCTGTGCAGTCCAGGGCTCGTTGTGGTTTGTGCAATTCTCGTTGTACTTTCTACAATCCCTGTTGTACTTTCTACAATCCCTGTTGTACTTTTTACCGGTATGCGTGAAGGAGGTACTTCTGTGCCTCCTTGGTGCCGCGAGCCGTGGCCTCCTTGAACTCGGGAGAGTTCACCACGGTGCCAACCTTGTTGCTAAAGGGAGAGCCCACCACGTTGACAGCTGCGGCTCCTTCCAGGATGAGGTCGAAGGCCTCCTTGGCGTTGCCCTCCCAGATAAACTCGACATTGCCGTTCTTCTTAATGAAGAAGGGCACAAACTGGGAGCTCAGCATTAGGACCTCGATTGCTTCCATCATTCTGTCCATACTTTCGCACTCAAGGCCCTGGTCGTAGAAGCACTTCTTAACAAGGTAGGTTTACGCCAGACCGCGTCTTGTCGTAACAGGCTTCGCGATGTCTCGCTGCCTGTTTCTTCAATCCGCGCCTGGCGTACCTACCTTGGCCTGCGGCGCTAGCCTGCCTTCGGCAGGCAATGGCTTCTCCATCGTCGATTTTCCTAACTTGCTGCGTGCTGGGGGGCTCTGCCCCCTAGACCCCCCTTCATTCTAGGTAGAGTTGCTTCACCTGCAGATAACTCGATCTTGACCCTTGTAACTTTTTCACTTGTCCGGGCTAGGGGGCTCCGCCCCCTAGACCCCCCTTTCTTCAAGACAGAAGCAATCTGCCTACAGAAAACTCGATTTTTCGCCGTTTTTTCAGTGTTTTTCGGCTATAAAAACCGAACCAGTTGGGCTAGGATGGTGAAATTTCGCGTGTGCCGAGCCAAGGACATACCCAAAAAGTGTGCGAAATCTCACCGAGATCGGCCGAGCCGTTCAGGAGGAGTAGTGCGGACAGACAGACAGACAGGAAAAATTTTTCAACCCCACTGGAGTAACAGGCTTCGCTATCGCTCAGCCAATGAACAGGGCCAGGTGCACGGGCAGTAGGTGGGACTGCCACAGGACGTTGCAGAAGGAGATGACCTCCTGGACCCTAGTGTAAAGGACTTCCTCGTACTTGGCGAGTGCCATGCCGACAGGACGAGAAAATATGCACTGCGCATGGCTCTGCAGCAGGTGCAATTTTTGGTTCTCTTTTGATGATTTCCTGTTAGGTTGGCCACACAATGGACAAAGCTCCAGAACCTTGACAATTTGGTCTGGCAATTTGGCAGGAATGTCCATTGGATACTGTAGGCAAAACAAAAGCGTTTAATAAGCGAGCGATTGTGACGCTTGGAGCGTTGCCTGATAACACACGGTAAAAACGGAACCTGGTTTTCCCAGGAAGCCAATGGTGAAGGTAAAGGTAGTTTCCAGGGAGTTCCTGTGAAAACCAGGAACCGTTTTCACCGTGCATTTTACTTACAGGAACCACTTGGAAGTCTGGATGGGCCTTGTCCGGTGGAACAATTTGGCAGGCAGCCTGTTTCCCCTGTGACAGAGGCACTTCGAGGCGGCTCTCTTGGGTATCGGCGGCCTCGGAATATTCCTCACCTTCGGCCAAAACCTGCAGATCATTTTATAAAGAGGAATAAGTACGTCGTCGTCGTGTTTCTCATCGCCGCACTGCTAATCCAAGTTATCTATTAGATAACTAGTGCATGCCTGTCCCACACTTGGATTAGCAGTGCACGAGCCCCATATCCCTTACCCTGCAGCAATCCGCCGTCCAAGAAAGCATTTGTATTCGGAACAATTGAGCGTCTTTTAACTTGTCGCCCTTAAAGTAATCCCACCGGATCTCTCCGGACTGCGGGTAACCCGTGGCAGCCATTTCCTTGAAATTGCTTCGGCCGTTGTAGTGCATTTTCAGCGGTGACTTCGGGTCATCATTGCAAAGGCGCAGTGGCCCATGCAGCCACCACACGAACCGTCAAGTCCCCTAAATGTGAACACGAACCCTAAAGTGGGACATTTTGACTATTTTCCCTATTTTAGGCCGTAAACGGCCAACGCGTGGATATTTTGCGAGGTAAAAAATGTTTTTGAGACGGTAGGACCCCTCCAAGACCATATCCGCACAGAGTGTCTTGTTCCCGCTCATACCCCCTCCCCCGAAAAATCTTGAAAATTGGAATGTGATGCAGAAAAAAAGAGAAGTTTTTTCAGACGTCAAGCGCGGATTCGGGGCTTCGAGCCGTTGATGCTCGGACCATTCTAGACTTCAGACATGTTGTAGCGCGTTCTTTTATCTACAAGATGCACTTTAGAAAATTTGTTTCCGACGCTTCGTTTTACGGTGGGAAGCAATCTTCTGAGGGGCTGTAAAGTGGGACACATGCATTTCCTTCGTTTCTTTTAGGTTTTGACCGATTCAGAGGCGTTACATTCACCTCCAGCGTCCTACAAACGCTGCCTTGAATATATTAGGTTGCCAGGTCGGTTTGGAGGCCCAGGCAGTCGGGCAAGTACGGTTATTCGGTACGCTTTAAGTCAGCACAAAATTTAGTCAATGTTTGAAAGCAAATGCTTCTTCTTGGCTTAACCTACAAAGATATCGTTATCGACCATAAGACAAATCTTGCGTAAAATCATATTTTGAACAAAAAAATTTTTAGAAAAAAAGTTGCCGGGTGAACGGTTTTTAATTTTCAAAATTTCAACATGTTTTTTTTGCCGTGCATTTCGAAACTTATAAAATATGACCTGAGCAAAAAATTTCATAAAATGGTTTTGGTCAGAAATTAAATTTTAAGGGGGCAATACACTGAAAATGGCCAAAAACTGACTTGTGCGATTGCTTCCATACGCGTCGTTGAACGTTGTTCAAACTTTGCATGTGACAAGACCTTACAAAAAGAAGCATTTTAAGCCCAGAATGGCATCGATCGGACGTCAGGGAGCGGAGCAGCGCCCAATCAAATTTTCGTCAAAAGTCGAACTGGCGGGCGTCCCTTAGTCCGCAAAAATGAAGATATCTCAATCCCGTTTGCGCCAAAATGTAGGAAATTGAAGCGGCTATAGCGCAAACTAGGATTATGAACATAGAGCAACCGAAAGTACAAAATTTCATTCAAAAACACTTTTTGAGGATTTTGCAAAAATGATCAAAACAGGTTTTTTCGTAAAATTTTGTACTTTCGATTGTTCGATGTTCATAATTCTAGTTTGCGCTATAGCCGCTTTAATTACCTACATTTTGGCGCAAACGGGGTCGAGATATCTTCATTTTTGCGGACTGAGGGATGCCCGCCAGTTCGATTTTTGACGAAAATTTGATTGGGCGCTGCTCCGCTCCCTGACGTCCGATCGACACCATTCTGTGCTTAAAATGCTTCATTTTGTAAGGTCTTGACACATGATAAGATTGAACAACGCTCAACAACGCGTATGGAAGCAATCCCACAAGTCAGTTTTTGGCCATTTTCAGTGTATTGCCCCCTTAAGACCATTTTGTTTTATTGGTTTTCGCCGCATTTCAATTGGTTTAGGCGCTACGGCTGTTTCTAATTTAAATATATCTGTGGAAATCTAATTGATTGAAGAGGCTCATATCAGCTTAACCAGTCGAGATATCGAAAAAGACTTCAGAACCAATCTTGCTTCAAATTAAATTTAGGACATAATACATTTTAAGAAATTTTTTGCTACTGCAGTTTTTGGGCGAAAACGAATGAACATGTCCCACTTTAGGGGACTTTGTCCCACTTTAGGAGACTTTGGCTCCTAAATTGGGACACGGTTCTTGCTGCTCCTACTGGAGCCCCATGGGCTGAAAAAAAAAATTGTTTTCGGTAAAAGACGTGTTTTGACATGAAGATTCTTAAATCCCCGGCGATTTTCGGTGTCATCGTTATTCTGTGAATAACAGACGATTTTCCGTAAAAATCGTCCCACTTTAGGGGACTCGACGGAACTTGGCACCACTGACAGGGTCTCGCTGATAACTTATGTCGATACGGTGGGTGTCCACATCAAGTCCATATGGCACCTTAACGGTGAAGCCCAGGTCAAGGATGTGTACGATTTCTTATCACAAAGGATTCTTGCTTTTTAGAGAGATATCCCTTGCTTTGTCTCTCTTACTCAGCATTGACCAAATTTCATTCCAGGGAGGCTCGTTTTCTTTGACTTAACTAGTCTTCACTGGGGCATGCCTCTCGAGCACATCTAACATATATTCTTGAAGCATCGGGATTCATTTTTTTTCTTTTTTTGTCTTTGATCTCAAAGCCTCGCTGCGTGCAGTGTTTCTGGCTTCTTCTTGAACTAAAAAAGATGGTGGATAGGTGGTACTTTTTGAATTCTTGAGGTATCTTCGCCGGGAAAAACAAAACCCTATGAGCAGTTGTTAGCTGCCCCGATCGAGGGGGAAACAACTTGGGAAAATTTTGTACACCGTTATTTCAAATTCAAATTATTTCACTCATTTCAAACTTATTTCAAGTTATTTCACTTATTTCAAGTTATTTCACTTATTTAAAATCTATTTCAACTTATTTCAAGCTATTTCACACTTATTTCAGCTTATTTCAACTTATTTCACACTTATTTCAACTTATTTCATAGATTTCCTCTCATTGCACACTAATTGTAACATAATTCAGCCGATTTCACACTTATTTTAACCATACTTATACTTTAACTCAAGCTGTTACGTGCTTTTACTCAATTTTAACCTTGCGTTGGTTAAACCAGGGTCGCCTAGGGTCAAATTAAAACTTGCTAATCGGACCCAATGAACCTGTTGAACTTGATCCAGGACGAGAGCGGAATTCCAGCAGTGCGACTTGGTTAGTAACCGTTGTGGAAATATATTCACACAAAATCCTGTTGTTAAGTTGGTATCATTTTTGTCATATGTCTTTTGTCTGATGTTCTTTTGTTTCTGATGTTATTGATGTGATGTTGTTGCTGATGAACAATCTCGTGTGTGAGAGAGTATATGCCCTTACAAAATGGAAAATATATGGGCACTATATGGACAAAATATATGGCCCAACATGTATTGACGACATATGTGGAAAAGATAATTTAGCAAGATACTTTTCCGATATAAAAAATATGTGGCAAATATATAAATTTCATACATTGCTCTATATGTAGGCAATATATAGTGTGAATACCATGGAGTCTGACGACTCGGAGACTTCCTTTACTATTATCAAAGAATGTAACCTCGCCATGCGAGGACATTCAATCGTGGTCGTACTGTGGTCGCCTAGAAGAACTTTTCGCGCTACACCCAAAAAAGACGTTTAAAATTTCCGAACTGTTCCAGTTAACTTGTTAAACAGGATTTCTCAAAAGTTCTGGGAGACTTAAACGCATAGAAAAGAACCTTGCCCCTGCTCAATATATGGCGTCAATATATTTTACAACATAAAATCATGTTGAGAAATATAGGCGCCTTTCAACATCGAGTGCCAAGATTTTAAGAAAAGTTACTTGAAAAGTCTGCCCTCCTCACCCTGCCCCATCCCACGACGGGCACCGTGTCAGATATTGAAACATACATTTCGCGAAGATAATATTATATGGGGGAATATATGCATCATATATTAACGGGCACCAAGATATACCCCCATATATAAACCACGTATTGCTCAAGATAATCTGCAACATATTGAGCAAGATACAATTATATTGGCAATGCATGAAACATATATGGAGTCATATATTGACACATATTTTCCATATATTTTCCTTTTTGCAAGGGTGATGAGTCCTTGATGTACGATGTAAAGAAGTTTTGATGTAAAGAAGTTAATTAAAAGTGATAGAAGATAAATCCGAGTCTCACTCTACCAAATACCTCTACCTAGGTTTGAGAAAAACTACAGGTTATGGGCCCAGGAGCCTTAACTGAGGTATAGTGAGTGAAGAAAACCGGAGGGAATACCCTTTTGAAGATTAACCTAAAAAAGAAGAAACATGGCCGAAGCCGACGTGAAGGATCCAATACCAAGATTGGACAGGACCAATTATTACCCTTGGTCAAGAAGAGCACAGTCGGAGATGGTAGAACGGAACTGCTGGTTGAGTATTGAACCGGGCTACGATAGTGTGGAAGTGGCTCAATTCAATCCAGAACAAGCAAGGACCAACAGGAAAGCTTTGGCGTTCATGCTCAAGTATGTATCAGATGCCTACATAGAAAGCTCTCATAACTTGGCCAACCCACATTGCCAGAGAAGGTTCAAAATACAATAAATCGACGCAGAATGATTTGTTCTAAAATGTTCCACAATTGTTCCAATTTGTTCCTCAACGAGGGCGGCTCCAGGCTCGTTATCGTTTTTCGATAACAAGCTGGCCAGCTTCAAACTAGTAAAAATGCACAAATCGACCCAGAAAAAGTGCAGTTCTTCTTAAAAACGTTTGTTCCAAAATGTTCCACCATCGTTTCACGGCCACCAATAACTCAAATGCGTTTTTCGAAAAACGGTTGTTTTGTTGGGTTGGCGAACTTCGAAAATACAAATCTGCGCAAAAAGAGTTGAAAACAACGCGGTTCGCCTCAGAATCGTTTGTTCCAAAATGTTCCACCATCGTTTCACGGCCACCGATAACACAATTGCGTTTTTGGAAAAACAGTTGTTTTGTTGGGTTGGCGAACTTCCAAATAACAAACCTGCGTAAACAGGGGTGAAAATAATGCTAATCGCCTCAGAATCGTTTGTTCCGAATTGTTCCACCGTCGTTCCACGGCCACCGATAAATGACATGCGTTTTTCGAAAAACGGTTGTTTTGTTGGGTTGGCGAACTTCGAAAATACAAATCTGCGCAAAAAGAGTTGGAAACAACGCGGTTCGCCTTAGAATCGTTTGTTCCAAAATGTTCCACCATCGTTTCACGGCCACCGA